TTGCTGAAGAACAAGTAAATACAAATCGAAAATGGCAACAGAAAAGAGGGAAAAAATGTGCCAATTGCTACTAAACCCGCCAATCTGACAACACTCTGAGTAAAACCCTTTTTTTTATACAAACCATCTCTATTGTAATTATTGATAACCAACGCTGATTGTATTTCAAATACAATCATTTGTCAGCAAAAAGCGGATAATTATTGACAGCGAAACGCCGCTGGCCGGTTAGGTAAATTGGGCCCGATAGTCGATAGCAGTTAATAATCAGCTATTTTACATTAAGAGATAACCATATTCGTGACGGAGAAATTCCTTAAAGGCGCGCAGCACGATATTCATCATTGTGCGTAATATGATTGCACAATAGCAAATTTAACTGGCTTCTACCCACGGCGGTGAATAAGCTGGCCGGACTTTTCTCAAAGGAGAAGCAATGCCGCAATTGTGTATTTGTTGACCATAATTCAGTATATAAGCAGGGTTGAAAGTCCTCTCTTTCCTTTTGCTTTTGCTTGCCATTCTACCAATTCCATACCACTGACCTTCCATTCTCAATTGTCCTAATCCGCATCTCGCAGAACCCATTATCTACCTGTCCAGTAGCCGCTATCCAAATTGAATTAACCCCGATATTCGTGTTTTACAGCTTGGTAAAAAATGACTAAACTTATTACTTTATACACACTGGGTACACCCAACGGTGTCAAGGTGTCAATTGCCCTCGAACTACTTCACCTTACCTACAAAACTGTCACCATTGATATCACTACTGGTGAACAAAAGAAACCGCAGTTCACAGCCATCAACCCTAATGGTCGTATTCCGGCCTTGACTGTTGAAGACCAAGAAACCAAAAAAGTAACCAACCTTATGGAATCCGGGGCTATCTTGCTCTATCTCGCCGACCAATTTGATCATGAACACAAAATCTCCTACCCCCACGGCTCGCCGGAATACTACCAGACCATCCAGTGGCTGTTTTTCCAAAACGCCGGTATCGGCCCAATGCAAGGACAAGCCAATCATTTCCAGGTCTTTGCCTCGGAAAAGATCCCTTATGCCATTGAGCGTTACTTGACTGAAACCAAACGTTTATACACAGTTCTTTCAAAGCAAATTGAAAGCAATCCTTCGGGGTTCATTGTGGGTGACCACATTTCTATCGCCGATATCAGTACCGTAGGCTGGGTTTCGGGCTCTGGTTGGTTAGGTGACAAGCTCAACCTGGAAAAAGAATTTCCCGTATTAAAGGCTTGGGTCGACAAGTTACGAAGAATTGAAGAAGTCCAAAAGGGCCTTGACGTTCCTGTCCCTTGGCGATTCTAATTTATATATCAGCCCAGCATTTATTTCATTAATCTGTTCATGATATGTATGTAATATTTTCTCTAGTTGAAAAAAATCCTATCTTTTCATATAAATCCTTTTTTTCCTACCATAAAAGCAAATTACAGTCTACAAAATTTAGAGCTAATATCAATATGTAAAAGGCTCTACACTAAAAATCCTGTATTATTTTCGATGAGAGTCTGACGCTTTAGCTTGCAAGGAATAAGTATCATTAAAATCAATATTTTAACACTCTGTTTCCGAATGAATTTAGCAATAAAAATAAAGTCTATTTTGTGCTAATGACGCGTTTGAAGAAGCTAATTACCTATATGGCAACTATGCTTGTCGCCACTAAACGCGTTTTGAGACGATTACCTAACATCTTGCTCAGAGTCTGTTTTTCGCCCAGTTTCGCGCGTCGGTCTCTACACCATCCTTGAGCCAATCTATCAACTCAGTCCCCTTGGATAATATATATATATTTATATATATATATATGTTTAAATAAACGCAACATGGCTTACAACCCCTATTCGAATAATTATAACGGCAACTCCGATACCGCTGGAGGCTTCAGTGCTGGAGGTAATGGATCTCAGTACGGCAACCCAACTAGTGCTGGTAGTGGCATGGGATCCCAGACTAGAAAGCCCAATAGAAACGCGCTTAGACCTGTTACTATTCGTCAGTTAGGGCTCTTTTCTCAAGCGGAGCCAGAAGGACCCTTCTCATTAGATGGCCAAGAGGTGCATACAGTATCTTTGGTAGGTGTCATTCGTGTTATAAACCCTCAAGCCACTAATACCACCATCAAGCTCGAAGATGGTACTGCTGGTCAGCTAGATATTAAGCAATGGAACGATATTGGCGCTTCTGAGGAGTATTCGCCAAAAGAGACTCTTGCTGTTGGTCAATATGTTTATATCGTTGGTACTATCAAAGTATTTAATCATAAGCGATCTGTCAATGCCCAGTTAATTCGTCCTGTCACCGATTACAATCAAGTCATATATCATCAATTAAGCGCTGTCAAAGTATCACTGTCGCTGACACTAGGCCCTCCAGCTGAAAAGCCTAATTCTATGGGGTTCACTAATGCCAGTGATAATAGTCACGTTAATGATAATAATAACAAAATTAGTACTAATAATGGATTATTCATTGATTTGGGTCCCGCAGAATCTGGTACTGAGTCCCAAAGAATTCTTTATCTTTTGAAAAAGATGGACGAACAAGGTTCTGGCTCTGGTGTTCATTGTGATGATATTGCTATCGGCCTTGGCTTGGACACAAAACTTTGCAAAAACGTTTTACAGTCACTTTACGAGGAAGGTGTGGTTACTTGTGTCGACGATGAAATGAATCTATATGCCCCGATTGGTTAGGCATGTAGCCAATAATTACAACTCAAAATATTATATTCAAGCATATTTATACCCTTTTCAGTGGTTTTCAAATCTGGCTTTGCTTTTTATTTCATATTTATTTATTAATTGATTAAATATTGTTCATGTGAGTTTTGTATATATATATAATAACCTATATAATAAACTTCAAGTTAACATCAATAGGATGAGACGCACTCAATTGGGGCTTTTGCTGGTATTTTCCAGCTAAAACCTTTCTCATGTTTTGTAATAAAGTTAAGTACGATTGGTTGGGGTCGGATTGCATAACAGAGATAAAGGCATAACTCATTGCACCAGAAGCTTGACCACTTTCAACTGCATCAGCACTGGTTTGAGAATCTTTACAACCACTAATACCAATAGCATCACATGGCGCTGTTTTGGTCTTTTTGGCTACGTTACTGGCCTCACTGCCACCACCGTTACGAGCCAGCTTTGCTAAGCCAGTTAAACTGGAAAACATACCAGCAATATCACGCTTTTGGTAGGCACTAAAGGCACTCAAAAGACCCAAACCGGCTTCCTTACCCACGTTGGGCTCCTTTACTACACCCTTAGTAGAGTATACATATGGCAGATCCAAGGCAGTACCAGAATGGCAAGAATCAAAAAGAGCAGTTAATCTACAGCCAGGAGGTAAAGGTTTAACTAAATGTTCGTGCATTTCGTCGTCAATAATCATACCGCTCTGTTGGAAATCAACAGGATAAATAGTCTCATCAAAGGCGTCTTCTTCGTCGCCGTTTGTGTCCTTGGCTTGGCCACCGTGACCAGAAAAATGGAAAAACAAAGAATCGTTTTTTTGAGCACCACTAACAAGCCATTGCATAGCCTTTAGTATATTAGCCCTGGTAGGTTGAGATTGGGGGCTACTCGAATCGTCAGTTAATATAACCATATCTTCGCTTTTGTAGCCTTGAGATTGAGTCAAGAATTTGGACACATTTTGTACATCATTAATACAACCGCGTAAAGCATTAGCCGAACCAATGTAATTGATACCAATCAACAAGGCCTTGCGTCTACCATTACAGTTTGAGTATTCATAACTGTATCCTTCCACACCGAATGACTGGGGTGCAGTACTGGGTGAAGAGAAGTTACCACTTCGTTGATTATCTTGTTGGTAACCGTTCTGTTGGTATCCACCATGTTGTTGGTATCCACCATGTTGTTGATATCCGCCCTGTTGTTGATATCCGCCTTGTTGTTGATATCCGCCTTGTTGGTAGCCACCTTGGTAGCCACCTTGGTAGCCACCTTGTTGGTATCCTTGTTGAGAATACCCTTGTTGAGGATACCCTTGTTGAGAATAATTGCCACTTTGGCCTTGACCGTAACCCCCGTTTTCACCTTGATTATTATAGCTGTAGTTACCTTGACCTGGATAAGACATTCTTATGTTGACAATTCAGAAAAGTTTAAATTTTGTATCATATTGTTGACGCAAGGGACTTCTCACGTAGACCTGTTTTGTGCCCGCAAGGCTTTGCCAGCTTGGGATGAGCAGATGTCTACCGTAAATGTTACGGATATGCCATCAACGATAGCAATATAGCGCGGCCCAAATATAATCAATTATAGGTTTTTTCTTATCTTAATTTTAAGATAATACAACATTTTTGAGAAAATAAGCATGTCAAATATTAGAAAATAGCATCTTGTTTATTGTTATTCCAAATATTATACTCTTTCACCTACTGAATCCATTGGCCACTTAATATATTGATTTGTCTGTTGATGCAATCAAGATCAACAATAGCAATTCTCCGTCTCAATACCAAAATAAGGATTGAAAAATAATGATTCGGTACCTTATACCTTTTTAAAAGTAAGATACAGTCTCTAAAATCAAAAGAAAAATCCGTGACTAGCATAGTGCGGCCACGACCTCTGTAGGAGCGATTGTGCGACTTTTTGGAGGTCTATTCCTTGTCAAAATCTTACACGATAGTTAAGAGATTCAAGTTTCCTTAATTCTATCTAATAAAAATCAATTGAAACATCAACCCTTTCGGTAATTATTAGCGCCCTCCTTATTCTTTATAAAGCATACCTTTAAAGAATGATAGTAATAACCTTTCACTTTTATTCTTTCTAGTGCATCATGTTTGATGAAAGGTTTTGATACAAAGAAGTGTATTATCTCACTCACATTTAGCGATAAAAATATGTTCATTGAATGAATAAATCAATACCGAGCTAAATATCTTTAGCTCGGTGTTATACTTCATACAGCCTTTTTTTCTAACTAAAGGGCGTTTAGTGTAGTTGGTTATCACGCATGATTTGCATTCATGAGGTCTCTGGTTCGACTCCGGAATCGTCCATTTTTTTCTAAAATCAAAAATATGAATATCTTTTGGATTGCTCAGTTTCTTTTCCTTTATATTTTTATTCTTTATGAGTTTTTAGATATTTCACCCTTGCATTGCTGTGTAATAATACCCTACGGCATTTGTTACTAGTGCGTTACAAAACAGAAAAATTCAAAGCCTGGAAGAATATACAAGATGAGCAATTGAAAAGAGAGTTAATACGATATTAGAATTTTTTGATTTTTTTGAGGAGTTTTCATTTGTTTATTTTAGAAGTACAAGTCTCAGTGAGGGATCGTGATGGAAGAAACCAACCACAAGCAAACCAATTGTTTTTAAATTATAAAATCACCGAAATATATCGGAAAATTAAATAACCTATTGAGCCTTGAAAGAAGGCTTGTAACCACCAGGGGCGGCACCTTCCTTGTTGTCGAATCTTCTTCTGTAAGATCCTTCACCACCTTCACGTCTGGGGCCTCTGGCACCATCACGGGGACCACGGGATTGAGTTTGGGGACGGGTTTCCTTAATGTGAGTGGCAGGGACGATTTCTTGGGGAAGGTGTAACCATTCACGGAGGTACTCAACACCTTCATCAGTGAGGGTGTAGTAGTAGTAGTTCCATGAGAATCTGGTCTTGACGAAACCCTTGGAAGTAAGAGATTGAAGAGCCTTGATGACGTAAAGGTTTCTAGTATCAATTTCTTCGTGCTTGGGTTGGTCGAAGTCCTTCTTGGCGACGACAACACCTTCTAATCAAATGGTAAAAAACTCGCGTTAGAGAATAGCACTTAAGAAATTCGGCTATGGCGTTTACGTGGGATCTTTAAATGGAACAAGGTCTTGCAGAAACCAGTTTATCAAGGCGCAAAATACCAGCTCATTCTCAAATATGAGCTGTTGATTGGTATTGCTTTCATGTCATAAATTCAGCATATAAATAGCTTATACGCGCCGAACCAACAATCAAAACTCTCTGGGGATTCAGAAGAGCCTTGATAAAATTACTCGGTTTATATTTACCATATATATATTCGATCCCACTAACATCAGGAATTTGAGATTTTCCTAATATCGTGGGAACTTTGAATTTTGCTTTTAAAGCTAACACAGTGTAAACTGGTTTCTAATCAACCCCGGCTCTCGCCTAAAAATTCTAGCCATCCGCCGTGTCCGGGAACCAAACACACGACAACACCGATGATTTTACGAGCAGCCATCCATAGACATCACACATAAACACCAAATTAATAAATAGACTTACCCTTGAAAAGGTAAACGTGGATCTTCTTTCTATCTTCCTTGGGAATTAACATGTTGAACTACTATTACTAAGTTTTGGCGACAATGTGGGAAAAGGAAAGAGAAAGAAGGCAAAATTTCACAATTGCTTTTACTTATTCTGACGTCGAGTTCCCGACTCAACTCGTTGGGAACGAGAGAATTGTTTAGTCATCATCTTTTTTAGCTGAGTAATTATTTTACAATGCTGACACATTATTTTATTTCTGGTTTTGAATATATACAGGGAGTAGTATAATAGAGGCCACCAACTAGTAGGGACCCAGGTACTATTACATATAGGGTTTAGCCCTAATCTTTAGATTATTGCTGTTAATTGATTATGAGCCTGCATAGTCTCACCTTGTTTAGAACGTCTATGCAATCGCTTATCATCCCCGGGTTCTTTGGGTCATAGGCTCTTCCCACCGTAAACGCCATCGCGGTTTTTTTATCTTTCTAGATTTTCAACCAGTTTGGATATGAATGATTTGCGGGTGATTGAGACTGTCAGGAGCTGTGAACGATGGCTCAACACTAACCGGCTTCTTCAGATTCCGCTTATCAACTGGGGAATGCTGATATTCTACGTTGCATTCCTGATACGGCTCACTTTGAGGTACAATGAACTATATATGAGACGAGCCCTAACCACGCTAGTAGTATCAAACACTCTGCTATACGGTCTGGCTGATACTTTAGCACAGACAATTCCGTCAGTCATACAATACAGAAGGAGCCAGCAGAGCGTTCGCCTGGATGAGTCCAGTAGAGTTGAACTGGGAATGCGGTCATCTGGCGGAACGAATAAGGTGATGTCTAATCGCGGTAATGGTCTGAAACGACAAAACAGTGGATACGATACCGTATCCGATATAGATGAAGATGACGCCTCCATGCTCAAGCGGCTGATTGAGGAAGCCCGGAATTCAAACGAGTTCTCTGATATGTATGAGGGCGGCGTTCCGGAAGAACCATTGGGTCTCACTCCAGCTGAAATAATAGCATTGCCGAATGAGCTGGTGGGTAGGCAAACTTTCTTCGATGCCCGAAGACTTATTTGGTTTATGGTATGGGGCTTTGGATACTCTTTTGTACAGTACCCTTGGTACCTTATCCTAAACTCGCTCTATGATGAGAAAAACGTGTTTCTGCATACTCTGCAAAGAGTCTTGACTGATCAATTGGTGTATTCACCAGTCAATTTACTGGTGTTTTTTACGTACACTACGTTTGTAATCGAGGGTGGCGGCAGTGCCGATGTCAAGGCCAAGATAAGGCGTGTCTATTTACGGACATTAGCAACCAACTATTGCGTCTGGCCACTGGCACAGTTCATAAACTTTATTTTCATACCAGTACAGGGTCAGGTACCCTTTGCCTCTACTATTGGGGTATTCTGGAACGCGTTCCTGTCAATGAAGGTTGCTTCTTTCTCGGCTTGAAAAAGGAATGAATCCTTGATGGGTGGCCGTATTTAAACCCAATTGACTAGCATTATACTGTAAACAGATAATCCACTTTAATTTATTTAGTTTTATTTAGTATTGTTTTTTTTTCTACAACCCGGCGATATCTCCATCCCCCTCCCATACATATATACCCCCCTACCGTCGCCCGTCAATGCTGGTGCGAGGCAGGGGTCTATCTGGCTGACCCTCAAGGCACGGGCTCATATGGTAGATCCAACGGCCCAGCTGTCTATTATCAAACGCCTTCGGGACTGCTTTTTTCGCTAAAGTCAAGGATCTAGCCGATATGGGCGTACATTACCTCATCGCAATATATTCCAGACCGTCAACTCGAATCACAAAACGTGACCTTGAGCCTCATGGGTTGGGGTTACATAATGCACTGCTCCCACAAAGTATGGTAATGATGCTAAGTATGTACGGTAGTTGGGGGGAGCGGAACCAAGGTGAATTTCCCTTTTCTTCTTCTTTCTGTTAGGTCTAGACATTATCGTTACAGAGGCAGTACATCATGAAAGTATGTCAAAATTCGTGCCCACGCCCCTGTTGCAGGTTTTAGCAGATCATGGATAGGTTTATTTGGTATCGTTATTTGGAAGGTTTGAAATATTTGTTTGTTTATTCATCTGAGGAGACAGCCCGGTTGGTTTCAATTTTGAATGTTTTACCAAAAAAAAAAAGTCAAATAGTCTCCTATACTTCAACACAAGATATCGCTATTTTGCGGAAAACCTTTCCCTTGCCTTTCGTCAGAGTATTGAAATATCAATAGTAAATATATATATATTACTACGCTCTTGTCCAGGCTTCATGCTGATGGGTCGTGTCATCCCCTTTCTCAGTGCTCCCACTGTTATCTTGGGAGGAAAATTTTCAAACCTTCAAACTATGAACAGTGCACCGTGATGAATATACCATCGCAGCAAATAAACTCGAAGTGTTGCTCATGATCAAATCTAAAAGTCCGGGTTTTTTAGCTTGCTCCCCAATTAGCTCTGATATTCCTGGGTTTTCTATGTTTTTCATCTTGACAGAGATCTATCGAACTTTTTGCACAACCTATTTCCCAGACATGAAGCACCTTGTTTTAATGTGCTTACCTAGTAAAACCTATTCCTATCTGCTTAATCCTTGTATGCGCCTTCTCTTTTTGTGAAATTTTGAATTCTAACTGTTTTTTTACTTTTTTAGCTTAACATTGCTTACCCCGCCAACGGCACTCAAAAGTGTATCGAAATCGATGACGAACACCGTGTTCGTTGTTTCTACGAAAAGCGTATGGGTCAAGAAGTCGAAGGTGATTCTCTTGGTGAAGAATTCAAGGGTTACGTTTTCAAGATTACCGGTGGTAATGACAAGCAAGGTTTCCCCATGAAGCAAGGTGTCATGCACCCCACTCGTGTCAGACTCCTTCTCGCCAAGGGTCACTCTTGTTACCGTCCCCGTCGTGTTGGTGAACGTAAGAGAAAGTCTGTCCGTGGTTGTATTGTTGCCGCTGACATTGCTGTCATTGCTCTTACTGTCGTCAAGCAAGGTGATGCCGAAATTGAAGGTCTTACCAACGCCTCCGTCCCCAAGAGACTTGGTCCTAAGAGAGCTAACCACATCAGAAAGTTCTTTGGTCTTACCAAGGAAGATGATGTCAGAGATTTCGTCATCCGTCGTGAAGTCACCAAGGGTGATAAGACCTACACCAAGGCTCCNAAGATCCAAAGACTTGTTACTCCCCAAAGACTCCAACACAAGAGACGTCTTAAGGCTCTCAAGGCTAAGAACGCTCAAGCTCAAAAGGATGCTGCTGCTGAATACGCTGCTCTTTTAGCTCAACGTGTATCTGAAAAGAAGGCTGAAAAGGCTGAAATCAAGAAGAGAAGAGCTTCCTCCCTTAAGGCTTAAATTTTTACTATTTGATTCTTTCACTATCACATATAGCAAATAATAAAGATTTAATTGACTTTTGTATTTTGTATCTCCTCATTTTTGTGTCTTTGAATCGGTTCTTTTTTTCTGTATCATCTACTAATCTATTATACCTCATCCCCCCCCCTCTATTCTTCTCTTTCGAATACTGTAAAACACTCTGTATATTATTTTATGCTCTAAATTTATTTAGACCCTCAATCTTATTCCAACTGTATATCTCATTAATTGCAAAAAAGAGTTGATTTCAGGTTGGGCTTTTGCTCAAAAAACGGTCTTCTCTGCTTGTTCTTTAATCCCAACTGGGCCAATGGTGAACCGCTCGCAAAACATTCCCTCAGACCCTTGGGCCGACTCCTACCTCTAGGATTCATCTGTTTTATTTTCATAATTATCTGTTCTTTTACATTTTAACCGAGTCACTTTTTTGATTTTTAATATTCCTTTTTTTTAAGTGGAATTATTAGGGTTCGACTTGATAATCTTTTACACATATTCTTAAGTGTTACAGGGGTTGAAAAAGATGTCCCGAGCTGATGAATTGCCGGTATGTACCTTTCCAAGCTGGCAACGTGGATCATTTTGATCGGTGCCTTCTCAATGTTTTTGCATCAGGATTTCAAACCACGTTGGCTTTTTTTTGTTATTGTGAATTGAATTTAAATGATGATATCTAACTTTGTTCTCATGTTTGGTTTTAGGCATTTCCAACACCAATGGAGACCTTCGGTAAAGATACTGCCCGTCCTTCATCTCAGCCATTTGTGCAAGCTAGGCCACTACAGCAGTATCAACCTCCTCCACAACCATATCAGCAAAGAACCCATAGTCTGAACTCACAACTTCCTCCTCCACCACCCCAGTCTACAACTTCTTCGCAGCAATATAATTCATCGCCTCGACCAATTCCATTTGGACGGCCCAAAAGTCCTTCAGTGTCGTCATTGAGCTCGAGTTCCAATATTAATAGTCATCAACAATATCAAAGTTATAGCCAGAATGATAATAATTCCAACTCTAATTCTTACACATACCCGGCATCCCCTGATACTATTCAACAATTCAATCCTATACCGAATACTAATCAGCCACCTCAACAGCCTTATTATAACAATTCCCGAATGAACTCACACCAAGGAAGCTTTTCCTCCACTACCAACGTTCCCGCAGGGTCGATCCCTGCTGGGGGTCATATAGGGGGAGCTAGGTCTAGTGGTTCAGCCAATGTTGGTAGCTACAACAGTAATGGCAATGGCAATGCTGGGTGGAATCCGCAGGTTTCGGGTTCTTCATCAGTTCCTCAAATGCAATCTCAGTCCATTGAACCTAACCTAAAAGCTTTATTTCAGGGCGTAGATACCAATAAAAATGGACAGTTATCGGAGAATGAATTACGAAACGCATTAGTGAATGGAGACTACACGAAATTTAATATCGCCACTGTACGTTTGATGATGAAGATGTTTGATAGAAACAACAATGGTACTATAGGATACAAAGAATTTTGTAATCTATGGAGATATTTAGGCGAATGGAGAAAGTTGTTCGATCGGTTCGATCTTGACCGAAGTGGCTCAATTAATTACGATGAATACTGTCGCGCACTGGAAGCATTTGGCTATCGGTTGTCTAATCAATTTATTTCCTTCATGTACAATATGCACTCAGCTTTTGATCGTCAGGGTGTTAGGGTAATTTCATTTGACATGTTTGTTCAGTCGTGTCTGTCGCTGAAAAGAATGACGGACGTCTTCAAGAAGTATGATAAAGATCGTGATGGCTTCATAACCTTAGCGTTTGAAGACTTTTTATATGAAGTCATGAATCTAACCTAGTTTAATATTACGGAGCTATTATTAATTGCTCTTGTCTAATCATGTTAACTTTTGTTACTCCTGTACTCAATGTCATTCAAGAAATGGGCTTCAAATTGCGTTTTCATAGTCCTTTAAATATCAATATCTACTTTTCATAGTCATATAAACAGACTTTTACTAGTATTCATAATAAAGCCTAACTAGATTCAAAAAGAACAGGCAATTTCTTAGGCAAGTAGAACTCTTCTAAATGCTCAATTTCTTCAGTTAACTTGAATTTAACTGCTGCCGCAGCTTTCTCGACTCGTTTAACACTGTTGAATCCAACAATAGGATTGGCACGCTTAGAAATAATCCAAGCAGTGGCAACGATTGCCATAGAAACATCCTCCTTGTCAGCAATTTCCTTGACACGCTTAATGGTTTTATTATCAGCTTCTGTTTCGAGACCCAAAAAACTTGCAAAGCCATTATTAGCACCACGGACTGACTTGGTGCTTTCTTCAGGTAATCTAGCTAAAATGCCAGTAGCCAAAGATGACCAAGGAATCGAACCAACAACCTGTGTTATTGCAGAATTAATATATTTCATGTTCTTCCTCACGATGAAGTAAATTATAGAAACTCAGCATAGAGTTAAACTTAGTCCAGCGGTTTTTCTCAGTAATAAATTGCAATTGAGCAAATTCAACAGCTCTCATGGAAGAAGCACTGATATGTCTAGTTTGATTATTCTTGACAACATCATGTAAGGCTCCCATAATCTCTTCTTTGGGGGTCTCCGTGTCTAGTCTGTGAATTTGTAAGACTTCTATATAGGTACCTAATCATTTGACAGAATCGGTAACAGCATCGAGAATATGCTTACGTGACAAGCCGTTACGATTAATGTACTCATATTTTTGTACATTGGAAATATGCGTAGGGTTGAAGTTGGGATCGGACTCATCAACTGTGTAAAAGAGTTTGGACAAAATGACGACCTTTAATCTATCAATATTGCACTTCTTCCAGAACTTGCCTATTAAAACCTCCGATTGACCATTTGAGTAAACGTTGGCAGTTTCAAAGGTTTTAATACCAAGATCAAAAGCTCTTTTTAAAATAGAGAATACTTCTTCATCTTCGATAATCCATTTACCCCAGCTGGCTTTAGAACCAAAAGCCATGCAGCCTGCTACAATTTTGGAGATCTTGAGACTTACTTTACCGAGATTTGTATATTTCATATCCATTTTTGAGTTTTCATAGCTGAGAGCGCGTAATTGTTTAAAAACATTAGTGTAAATCTAAAAATAATTTAGGGATGCCTTAGGAAGAGTGTTAAAGGGGGAAATGAAACAATTTTAGGTACGATAAACTAATGTAAACTATAACCTACGTGTGGCGTACAATGCGCCATATAAATTTACACAAAGAAGTGTCGTAAATTCGCGCGAGTCAGAACGAACTTCAATCTAACAATTTTACAAAAACATATATTGTGTATTATCAGCTATTATTATTTTTATTATTTAGCCAAGCAAGTGAAGTAATTATATATACATATATATATACTATGTGTACAAATAATAGAGTATTTGAAAATAATTTCAAACCGTTATTCCAATCCTTTTTTATCATCATGATACGCGTATCAACCCTTTTATTTGAGAACGCAGTTATTCACCGTGGGTCCTAATAACATTCAATTTGGCTTTGGCAAAAATTTAGGAGCAAATGATGAATAAAATTGGGGATGATAGGTAAAACTATCAAATGAAAAAAATAATTTCATTCTACAACAAAGTAAACATGGCTTTTATAATGGCACATATTTGTAAAATCAAAAACCGGTTATATTACCGCCTTGATGGCCAAGTTGGTAAGGCGTAGCACTAGTAATGCTAAGATCGTCGGTTCGACTCCGGCTTGAGGCACTTAAAAAGTTTTTTTTTAAGATCTTCTTAAAAAAATAGGTTAGTTTCTTTAACTTTGGGTTCATTTATTCGAATTTAGTAAAAAATGATTCGACCCAGGATCGAACTGGGGACGTTCTGCGTGTTAAGCAGATGCCATGACCAACTAGACCATCGAACCAATCGTTATAATGTGGATAAATATATACAGATTCCAATCTTTAAAAACCTTGGTAAACTTAATATTTCGAGGGAAAATAGAAAAACACGTAATTTTTAACGTTTCTATATTATTTTTATATGTATATATATATATATATTGCTCTAGTTAAATTATTGGTATCTTTGTTTTTTTTATATTTGTTTGTCTCGTTCCTGTTAGTTTTCTAATAAGTCAAATTTCCTGAAAGTAATTTTCCAAAAAAAATAAAAGTCACTAAAATAAAAAATTTATTTAAAACCGATATGAAAGTCCGTGTGACTTATCTTTCTACCTCACTACTCAATTAAGACAAAGATCGATAATTTTTTATTTATAGGTAAATTTATTAGAAGATCCTTGCTCAGATCTAAATAGGGGTTTATGAATATTCTCAGTGCTTGGACTTAAAACATTCATGATGAGATGCCAAAAAGTGAAAGCAGACCTTGCTGGGAATATGGCGAAATTACCACAAGCAGAACGCACTATAACCAATCAGCAATATTTAAGGATTCTTAATTAAATATTCGTATTTCCCAAATCAACAACTCTAATTTAAAAAGATAGAAAAAATGTCCGCGGATCCTAGCGAATTAGGGCTTTCATCAGTTTATCCTGCCCCTCCTTATTTCTACAAATTCTTCACCACAGAAAACCGCGACAGGCTCGAGACTTTGAAGAAGGAAGCTTTAGAAGAAGAAACCGCCGAATCGCTCGAAACTATAGAAGCGATCATTGCTAAAAATCTGTCAGAAGATAATTCATCCGATAATTCGATACAATATTTGATCCCTCCAAGTGTTCCAGATGCACCGGCTTATCGAAGTTTTGGTAATATATGGCCTGTGAATGATAGGATGGTGACACTAAAAGAAATGGGAATTGAAAAACTATATAAACTCTCTGAAGAAGAAGGTGACGAAGAACAGCTTGATATTGGCGATACAGATATATCAACCGAAGGGTCTCATGGAGCATCTCATGAAAGAATTCATCAGATCAAGTACCTGCTAAAGAGTTTACTGATAAACTTTCTTGACTTGGTTGGCATCATGAGTATATCGCCTGAATCATTTCCGGGAAAAGTCGAAGATATCCGGGTCATATTGATTAATATGCATCATTTACTTAATGAATACAGACCTCATCAAAGTCGTGAAAGTTTGATTCTTCTAATGGAGGAGCAGATTGAGGAGAAGAAAAAGGAAATAGAGAACATAAAGAACACATATCGTGAGGTTCAGAAACAAATCAACTCCATTTCAGAAACTATTCCTAATCATGGAAGCGAGTCCTTGCCCGCGGAAAATAGTTCTGCGATAAATGATAATAACTTGGAACAGCAGCCTTTAGAGGCTGAAAACCCCTTTTACTTTTCTGTCAAAGCACTGTCAAGGGAAGGAAAAGATTCATTGTTATGGGATATTATTAGCCAAAGTTAGCATGTAACAACGTTTTAATAGTCAGCCCTTTTAGATAAATTAATATGAAATGAACACCATTGAAAACATCCATTAGAGGATTTTTAATATTTTTAATTCTAATATATGGTATTGAAAATACATGATTAGTTTAAACTTTAAAATAACATGATGTCAAGTTTTCTAACTTTTTATCACTATATACAAAACAACAGATGGAGACTAGACTAAATAAACATAGAATTATATTTCTCTGTCTAGCTCATATTTTGAGCTTCCTCGATTAACAAGTCAACATTGAAGTTGGAGCTACCGGCGGTAAAATCACGGAGCATTTGCGCTCTTCTGGCACCTGTAGCGTCAGAATTGATAGCGCCGTAGAATTTTTGAAGTACAAAAACCAAAAACTGACCCTCTTCGGCAGTGATATGACTATCGGCTTCCACAGCACCATTCATCAACACAATATTCTTAGAATCAGCAAGATCAGTATGTAACATAATAGTAGTATGAGGCTTAGCATATTCACCGTGTAATTGGAAATCACCTAAAGTGGTAATAAGACAATGAACCGTATTATCATTGATAAAAGACCATTGGGCAAAGTGCATTTCGATACCTTGGCCTTCACGAGGAAGAGGTAAAACAAACATAGGATTTTGTCTGGAGGTCTTGTAAAGACGTTCAAAAGTTGCAGGTTCGAGAATGGCACAGAGGCTCTTTTTGGTTTCAGCATGACGAGCACGCCATATCAATTCAATCTCTTTAGCATTATGTAAAGAGATTTTTTCGACATCAACAAAAGTGTCGAGAGTTCCCTTGTTAGGTTTAGGGAGCGGAGCAACTGGAGAACCGCTTTGCTTCTTCTGAGCAGGAGTAGGGTCAGCGTTTTCAGAGGAAGCTGAAGTAAAAGTGGTAGATGATAGTACGGGTGTCGATTCAACTTCTGCGGTATAGGCAGAAAAAGGATCAATTGAGTTGAGTTCTTTCTTGGTCTCATCAATTTTTCCCTTGTACTTTTCCTTGAGGTCTTCAATGTTCTTAACACCTTCACTATTGGTAGAGGAAAAAAACCCGCTTGTTAGTACGAACTTATTAGATATAGCGGCATAGGCAGTAGTTTAACTTACACTTCAGCCTTTTTTTGTAACTTTTCTTTGTACCGGGCTAAGACATCGTTATCGGCTTGGTTTTGGGTAGCGGGAGATGAGGAAAGGTTTCTGAGTTGCTGGATAAATGCAGTCTTAGGATAGGCCTTTGAGGAGTTCAAAATGATTTTGGGGGTAGGAAGTTCTGACATTTTCCCTAAAATAGTTCTGGATCGGCAAAACATTGGAGATTATAGTTGAACGATTTAGGTGATTGATTCAAATTCCGCGCCCTTTAACGTCCCATACTTATGTTACGGAATATTCCTGAAGGTTATATATCCACTACCGGGTAAAAAACGCCAGGATACAAACCTTTGATATTCTATACAGTTTTGGGTTGTAAATCATTTGAACAGAATTATTCTAAAATAGCAATTTGTATGATTGAATAAAACAGATAATAAGTAATATATCAAGAATAAATAAAGTCAGAATGATAGCGATTTAGTGCCAACAGCTATGCTATCGGAAACCAGAGCGGAAAACACAGCAGCCCAATGTGAGCAAAACAGAAACGGTAAATTATATTTTAAGCGAAATAAAATCAAGTAATTCACATATCCGAATCCATAGCTGGAAAGTTACTGTCCCCATCGTAGTGTTCATCCTCAAACGGTTCTTGTTGCTGCAACAGACCATATACAGAGGCCTTGACCAGCGTGAAAACTAGTGAGGACTTGGACTCGAGGGTACGCAAGGTCTCTAGAATCTGCCGCGTGGGTACAGTAGCCACCCTATTCATCAAAGCAGATAGCTGTTCCCCCAAGTAAAAAAGTAAATAAGTTAGAATGATTTACGGACCTGGTCTGTATAATTTGGATTACCCGCTAAACTTACCTCGTTTAAGCTAAGCGCTAGCTTTTGGTACTCAATCAGCAAATCCTTCTCAGTCTGGGTCAGCTGAGAGCTAGTGGAATAATCCTGTGTGAGATAAACACTTTTGGTCCTTTGCGACTCCCTCTGATCTTGTGAGCTCATCGGTCAATTATTTTATCACGTCCAAAGAACTAGAATTAGAAGAGTCCAATAACCTGATGATTACAATACGCTGATGGTGATGGAAATTGGTCTCTTGATCAAACGCAGGGTAAGTAAAGGTCTCTAGGGCTTGGCCGCGTCCCACATAGAAGGTAATTTAACCTGGGAACTATAAATACAACCCAAATTCCCAGCAATTTCTTGATTTTTTCTTTTTCTTTTCTATGTCGACGTACTTCAGTATGTATCTGCCCTAAAGCTTTGGATTATCTACCAAAAGTGTCAGCTATACATTTGTGGCTTTGCTTATTTTGGATTATCTGTGAATATCATTATTTTGAAAGACCGGATTTACTAACACCCCCACAGTAGGATCATTTCTATAGTATACGTCTCTCTTTGAGCTCTTCAAATGAGCCACAGAATCCAACTTGGTTGATGAGGTAGTAACCTGCACACCCTAGAGTGAGAACCTTTTCTGTTTGATTGTTGATCTTCGGATCCGGTCATCTGATATTTTCCTTCTTTCTCCGGCAGCCCTTGTGGTTGCTATCAAGTAGAAAGTCGGAGCGATGATCTCGATCTACTGTATGTGCTTCCTCGGAAGAGTCACTTTAGATGGGCGTGTATGGCTGTCTGACAAGTTCTATAAATTCTGCGGGTTTTTATTTTAGACTACTCTATATAATAATACAATTTTTCTTTAATTAATACTTTACATTCATGTCATGATAAGTAATTGAAATACCTTGATATGCTAAATAGATATACTTATTTTGTTTTTGAAATTTCATATCATAGAACAAACAAAGTGGTTATATGGGCCAATCCTAGATAAGGCAAGAATTTGGAACATGTCCGGGTAACTTACCAGCCACCTGCTGAGATTCCTACATTCTATATCAGACACTCAATCAGGACCCCCAAAATCGCAATTGAGATTGGCGCTAGTTGATAATCTCTTTGAAAATGTTTAGCCCTTCATCTTTGGACTCTCATTCCGATATTGTTCAGCTTATTGACGAGTCTAAAAACTTTTCGTAAGTTTTAAACCAGCATTAGCTTTTCTTTCTCTACCGAAGAGTACCTGTGACTTCATTCCTCTGGTTAAAATCATGTTTAAAGGAAATGATCAAAGGTGTTTGAAGGAGATGTTCAACAGAGTCCTCGGTGCTATGCCTTTTTCTAAAGTTATCATTTCCACGACTAACCTTTCTCTTTTATAGTACTTCAATCAATGATTTCCTTCACAAAGTTAAATTAAACGGGGCTGGCCTGGACTATCATATTGTTTCAGTTTTCGGTTCTCAATCCACCGGTAAATCCACTCTGCTCAATGCTCTTTTCAATACAGATTTTGATGTAATGAGTGAAATCAAGCGACAACAGACCACTAAGGGTATCTGGATGGCCAGGGCTCAAACTTCGAGCCGCTTGCTCAAGCAACCTAGTCCTGATGGTGAAGAAGCCAGTAGCGAGGAAGATACTACAACCGATCAGGAGTCGAAAATTTTAGTAATGGATGTTGAAGGTACTGATGGTAGAGAACGAGGTGATGATCAGGACTTTGAGCGTAAATCTGCCCTTTTTGCTCTTGCTACATCTGAGGTAATAATTATCAATATTTGGGAACATCAAGTTGGCCTCTACCAAGGTGCTAATATGGCACTTCTAAAAACTGTATTTGAAGTCAATTTGTCTCTTTTTAAAGATCATCAAAGCAAATCTTTGATCCTGTTCGTTATCAGAGATCACATTGGCGTTACTCCTTTAAGCAATTTATCTAATACTTTGACAGCCGATTTGAATCGCATTTGGGAGTCATTGAGCAAACCCGCCGACATGGTGGATCCTAAGTTAGATGAATTCTTTGACCTACAGTTTACTGCTTTGCCTCACAAAATATTACAGCCTGAGCAATTTAGCAGTGGTACTTCCAATTTAGGTACGAGATTTACTGATCCGGATAATAGCGAGTATGTTTTCAAGAAAAAATATCACCGTAATGTTCCGATCGACGGTTGGAGTTTCTATGCTGGAAACGTTTGGCAACAGATTGAATTGAACAAGGATCTTGATTTGCCAACTCAACAAATTTTGGTTGCCAGGTTTAGATGTGATGAGATTGCCAACCAATCATGGGATCTGTTTGAACAAGAACTTTTGGAATTAAAAAAGCATATTGACGCTAAGCTTCAGTCTGATAAGGAAATAGATGAAAATTTCTTAACAGTTGGTAATCTTATCAAGCATACTCGAAGTTCAGCGATGCTCGTTTTTGATGAGTTTGCTTCTAAATACGCTAAAGCAGTTTACGAAACTAAACGCAAAGAGTTGTTGTCCCGAATCGATAGTGAACTTATAAATATTTATAAAAACCATTTGACAAAGCTGTTAAAACTCTCTTTAGTGAGATTTGAGACCAAATTTGCCGAAAACCTGTCGAAAAACTTGGGATTCTTGGTTTCTATAGACAGCTCTGAATTAACGACGAAAGAGTTTTTTTTAAGTAATGCTAATAATGCAAGTGCTGATGATGGAGTCTTTGTATTTGATGATGAGTTTACTACGCTTGATGAAGAAATTAATAAAATTAAGGCTATCAGAAGAAATAACGAAATTTCTAAAATTATTAGTCGCGCTATGAAGAAGATCAAGCCCGTATTATCAGAAAAAATTAAGGATGTTTTCAAGAATCCTAACGAGGATACCTGGGACCGTATTTATGATGAATTTAATTCTATTTCCCAGATGGCCTTGTCCAGAATGAATTCAAGTACTATTACATGCGATACTGGAGTAATTGATTTTGGCGTTGGTGCTTATGTGGAAGATAACCAAAAAGGAGTACTTGAATTCAAGAAGCAGGCCTGGATTAATTTTGAAAAAATCATCAAGGGTGATGTCTGTAGACCCGAAAACGTTTTAAATCGGCTCTTAGAACGATTTGACGAACTTTTCAGATTTGATGAAAATGGCGCCCCAATTGTTTGGAAACCTAGTGATAATATTGAGGCCGTATATCTCAAAGCCAAAAATAACGCTCTATTGCTTTTGCCTATTTTCTGTGAAGCCAAGCTAAAAGATGGTACTAGAATCACTCCAGGTGTTAGTATTGCTGAAGAAGAAGAAGATAATCTTAAAAACGAGAGAGATTTCAATGATTTTGATTTATTTGAAATCGAGAAGAGACCATTCAGTGCCATTCTGACTGATAAACAGAAGGAGGAAATCTCCAATAAGTTTAAAAAACAATGTGACTTACTTTACATTGAATCTAAACGGTCAACCATTCAATCTATTACTCAAATTCCTATTTACGTTTATGCCCTGATTATCATTTTGGGTTGGAATGAATTTATGGCAATCCTAAGAAATCCTGTTTACACCCTATTCCTATTGCTAGCTGGTGGCGGTGCTTATATTATTCATTCACTCAAGTTATGGAGTGTTATTATTAATGTGACTGATGCTATGTTCCTTAGAGTTAAGGATATGGCAGTTGAAAAGTTACAAGACATGGCAGTTAACTCTGATACTAAAAAATCCCCTATTCGTCAACAGGTAAGCGTGAGAGCTAGTTCAGGCGGTTCTGACCATTACTCTGATAATATTGAACTGGATGATTTTAACGAACAAGAAAATTAACCACACTGATATGCCGTCCTAATGTATGGTAGTCTCCAGACTATCATTCGCATTCGGTGTTAATTTATTTCACTTATTTTATTCTTATTGATCAAAAAATAAAATTCTTAGCAAAACATTTGTGATTATTAATTTTCATTCTTAGCACTACTGTATAAATAATTCAATCATTCAAAAAAAAATGTGTTATAATGACGCAAGGAAGTTTCTGTGATATCTAAACGTGTTTTGAGACCTGAAGACTCATACAATTAGCACAATCAGGCGCCATATATAATTTCAGGGTATTATTTTCTGGCCTATGTAAAATCTGCTAAACACTGTTCATTGTTTTTCGCATAAAAAAATGCGAATTCTGTGGATCGAACACAGGGCCTTCAGATTAACTGAGACTAAAGTTTATACTTCAGTCTGACGCTCTCCCAACTGAGCTAAATCCGCAATTTCTTGGAAGGGAAATAAATTGGACAGACCCGTTACAAAAGATATATAGGGTCATTCAATACTGTTTGAGTATATTCTCAATGCAATATACCAATATCTAAGAGAATAGAGGTCAGGCTATACTGTTTGGCTGATACAATATTTCCAAAAAGATAAAATTATTTCTTCTATTGGATTATTTATTTTTGTCAAATAACTAGATACACCATGCATTTAAGGTCCTGTCCTGATAAAGATGTCCTCGTATTCTAACCCCTTAACCAGCTTTCCCTTGTTTTACCTCATAAAAAAAGTTGCCTCAAGCCGGAGTCGAACCGACGATCTTAGCATTACTAGTGCTACGCCTTACCAACTTGGCCATCAAGGCGTTGGAATATGTTGCGAGAAGTAATTCACGAAATACATAAAGAATAACATCCAACTTCATAAAATATAGTTTACCAGTAATGGTACATGTACATGTTTTTTGCTTTCGTCGTTTTACTACTACAGTTTATATATGGACAAAATTTACTCATTTTTTTTCGTTCAATAGTGACTTTAACTACCGGGTTATGGTTTCCCAGCGTTGTTGTATTTTAGCACATAGGCTAAGATGTGCTAGAAAAATAGTTCATCTCACCTATCGAAATCTGTGATTATTTTTCCCTTTTTTTGCAAGAAAAAACTCTGAGTCGTTTTTGTTTTGAAACCTTCAAAGATCCTCTTAAATTACACAGCTGCCTCCATTTTTCCCTCATTTTTGGCTCAATATAATATTCATTCAACAATCACAAAATCACCTCTAAAAAAAAACAAAATTATGATGAAAATTAAAGTCCAGCATGGAATATAATAGTTCAATTTAGGCTATTAACAAAAGTAGTAAGAGACACGTACGATGTGAAGGGTTAAATTACTTAAAATGGAATTTAAAACACAATTAGCTCGTATGGCGCAATGGTAGCGCGTGGGATTGCAAGTCTTGAGGTTGCCGGTTCGATCCCGGCTGCGAGCTTTTTTTAAACTCTTCAAGTTCAAGCTGTTTCTATTTGAAGGTTTCAATTTAAGTGCTAATAGTGTTTTCTAAATTTGATAAAACGGGTTAATATTTTAATATTTCAATCAAGTTTTAGCAAAAGATTATCGTGTTTTAGACTCTACTTGATGGGTCAAATACCACTCTGTAGAGAACACTATATTTTAATTATGATTTCAGCTATTATTTTAAATGACTAAAGGTAATTAAAGGTCGGTGGTCTCCCTAACCTCTTTTAATTATTCGATTTATGTTTTATTCAGTGCTTGCATGGCATACCTGGCGGAATTGGTGCACATCGCTCATTAATGGTTTAGTCCGAAACTCGTCTGGTGCTGAAAGTCACCATTAGCTATTAACTCTGATAGTTTATATATATTAAAAATAGCGAGTTCAGTTTCTTAATAAGACAAGCGAGCGGAATATATAAAGGGTACCAATTGAATTTTCAATTGATAGAAAGAAAAATCATGAGATTATATTTCTAAAAAAACATAGAAAAAAAACACAAGTGCAAAGAGTAAATATTTTCAGCAAAAAAAGACAAACTCAGCAAAAGAACTTCACCAAGAATGAGAAATAAACAAAAACTAAACCACTAGAAAACCACATGAAAATGTGAAAAGGGAAAAAAAAGAAAAACAAAGTAAATCAAAAGAAAAAGTGAGAAAGCAACGAACCAAAAAACCAACAGAGTAAAAATTCACAAAAGACTAAAGTATGAGAAAAACAGATTAACAAGTAAAACAGAGAAATAAATAATAAAATAAATAAACGAAGAATGAAGAAAATAAATAAATAAATCAAATCATCCAGCCAAGCTTCATAGAAGATGGACCTTGATCATTCCAATCTCCTATATTTGAGGGCGTAGATGATGGTCCTTTTTTTAATACCTTTAATCCCCTAATGGGTGACATGATATTTTTTGACTCTGATCTTAAGGCTACTGGGAGACGCTTACGAACAAAGTATCTTGCTTGAGTAAATATCGAAGCTGTTTTTATGGTTTTATCTACGAGATCTTGAGTAAGCTTTTGTACAATGGTAATCATGCGACGACGGGACCCACGGTGCTTGAAAGCTACCAATATAACAAAAAGAACAACGCTAACTTTATGTGTCATTGAGATCTGTTTGGATCGGATGGAAAACGCGCGATAGTAATCGAGTCGCTTCGCATTGCTAGAGCGGTCACCATAATCAGACGAATCTACTAATGTCAGGGTGCCACTGTCGTCGTTATGACAACTAGTGACATTGGTTGTTACTGACATGTAATCAATTTGAGAATCCATAATATCATTAAGAATACACTCTTCATCCGAATCGAGTCCATCATCATCATTGTCGCTAACAATTTGGTATTTAGCTTCATCAGTTTCTTCTAAGAAATACATTTCTGGGCGGTCTTGATCAACATTTGTGTTGATACAAACATTGAAATTCATATTGATTTCGGGCTCATTAACTTTTATACTAATCGTGTCGTTATCAAGATTGACTATTGTGGAGCAAAAGGAGTTAATGCGCGTCAGAGTTAGCGCTGAATCCTCCACGCAGTTATTCCCTTTATAAAAATTGCAGACTTCATGTATTCCCGGCGGCTGGTGAGAAACCTGTACTAATTCTTTGGAGTTATTGTGATAGGAAATATTAGCAGATTCACAGCATAATGCAGGAGGTAAGGAAGCTCCGTGACCGGTTGATAAAATGGCTTTACCGGGGTATATCGTAGGGGTCTCTGGCGAAGAAGAGAAATTCGATTCATGACATGCTGGCTTAATCGAGTTAGATTTTGATGACAATGAGCGGGATTTAGGTATTGCTGAAGACACCGAGATAGGCATCACAGGCTCGGGCCATGATATCGTATTGATATATTTGAAAACTAAGGCTGAAAACGCCATAGTATGTATCAATATTGTTATCAGGATTTCCGCTGTACGTAAAAACCAAACGAAGGGCTTAATTGAGAATATCAAAACGAAAAAGGCAGTATCGGACTATTAAATTAGGAAAATTCTATGGTAAAACTCCAAAGAGAAATGATGGTTGGCAGTGACGGCTAAAATATAGACAATATACCAAATATGAAAAAAACTAGTCGCAAATTGAAACTAAACTGCCTAAACCCAAATGGCTAAACTGCTGAAAGGTCAAGGGTAAAACAGGGCAAACTAAATAAGGCTGACTGCGGAAGAATGGGCAGAATATGAGTGTAAGATGTTACGGATTAGAAAAGTAATCAGATAAGGAAAAGCGGAGAAGGGAGCACCTCGGAAATATCGTGTTGATTTTTGGGGAATTCTTTGACTTTAGTCCCAGTTTTTGGTAAGACCAGCCGCCCAAAAAAACTGGCAAATGAATAACACTGCACATAGATGGTATTTTTACAAGTCTCGAATAAATATTATTTTTCTTTATTAATGGGAGATAAATAGTTTGTGTTATATAAACATTGAATCATAATCAGGCATGGGGTTTTCCACTCATATACAAGGGCTAGAATATTAATAACTCAGCTAAGAAGTTCTTAAAAAGCACATCAAAATACCTAGTTGGAAATACCAATAACACCACAGGCGTTACGGCCACCGGCGTTACCAGTCTTGAAGGATTCGGCATTACCACCTTTTCCGAGATCATCGGTACCGGCGTGAATGACAACGGTTCTACCAAGAATGGAGTTTTCTCCAATAAGCTTGACGAGGTTATCTTGGATAACACCCTTGGCAAGGCCGTGGGCATCAGTGGAAATGTTACCGAGATCACCAACGTGACGTTCCTTGTCTTCGGGGGCACCGTGGTTCATCTTGAAGGGGTTGAAGTGAGGGCCAGCAGAGACACAACCGTTGGTGTTATCACCGAATTCGTGGACGTGGAAACCACGTTGGGCGTTGGCGGTGTTACCAGTGATTTCATAGGTGATAGTAGTGGGTTCGTTTTCGGAAACTTGTTCAAAGTTAACGACACCGGTGACACCAGCATCACCACGGAGGACAGCGACTATAAAAAAGAGCATATACAATCTTGGTTAGTTATAGGCACCTAGGAATGAGATTTAATTGCCTTCAAGAAGCACAATTAGGGTGGACATTTTCGAGTAAACAGTTTGCCACTGACCAAACCATTTTAAAGAGAGGCCCCCCTTAGGGGGGCCTCTCTTTAAACACGGCTTATTCTGTACGTCAAGGACGTGATCCAGGAGCAATTGAGTAGCGTTATCAACAGAGACATACCAGCTTTAACCATTTTAATATATTATAGAGTTTTAGAGGTAAAGAATAACGAAATTCGTACTTTGGAAATAGACGAGAAAGGAGGTCCAGGAGAAAGACAGGAAAGAAGGGCATAGACGTTGTATTCAATTATAGGAGATAAATGGGATTATTAATGCTTACATAACCGCACTTCGAGGTTACTCATATTCCGTCGATAGGGAATGGGGGGTTTTAGGCCCTAGACCACCACCATCAATTGAGTTACCATGGAGACCAAAAGCCTCGGCAATAGCAGTCTGGAGTAGTCTAGACTCAGTCCTTTTTCTGCGCCAGCAAGTGTGGCGCTCAAGAAGGCATGGATCCAAAGATAGATTGAGAGAGGTAGCAGTCTCTGGAAAACGGGTTTGAAAGAAATTAAAGGACCAGAAAGAAATGGATGTGAACGGAGTGGAGGGAGGAGGGCAGGAGAGAAAATCTGACTGGATTCAAGCATCTATTTATACGATATAGGCTAATATTTTTCTCGGTACATAATTTTGCTTAGACCAAGCTCAAATATATTGAGCGCTTTAGCTGGACGACTTATTACTGAAATCAAGAATAATGCTGGGGAATTAGTAGCTGGTGATCGTTACCCTGACGGTTACCCGAGCATTTTAAATATTAACGGCGAGCATTTTTATGCCGACCCTTCAATAAGGTCTCAAAAAGCTCTCCAAAAGTTCTCATTTATATTTAATAAGAGAATATAAAAATAGCCGAAACAGAAAAAGTGGTTACTAATAAAATTAAGAAAGAGAGAAAAAAAAAAAACAATAGAAAAAAAAAAACAACAAAAAAAACGGAAAAAAAACAAAAAAATAGTATAACAAAAAATAGTATAACAAAAAATAGAAAACTTGCTTGCTCACCAGGGTGGAAAAGCACAGCTGGCTAGCGGTTACAAAACCCCAAGTACATTCGTGGGCCATCCCCATCGCTAATCATAAAATAGAGTCTTGGAATATTTTAAAGCGCTAGTTATAATCGTAAATTTAGCGAGATTATAAATATGTACATCAACTGAAAATATATAGAGAAAAAAAAACACGTAAAAATAAAGAATGCTAATAAGGTATAGTCTAGCTAATTCTACCCTAATTGCTAGAAGACTCTAAACTAGCCACCTTTTCTTGCAATTTGCTGATGGTCTCACTCTTGGTTTGTAATTGACGAGCGAGGTTTTGGACATCAGCTTCTAGTTGACTGAGACGCGATTCCAAATCACCAGATTCGACAGGCTTGGTGTCGACAGGCTTGGCTTCCACGGGCTTAGTTTCAACAGGCTCCACAGGCTGGGTTTCCATAGGTTTAGTTTCCACAGGCTTGGTTTCAACAGGAGTCACATCAGCAACCTTAGGCTCGTCATCAGCTTGATCCCAGGCGGAAGCCTCATCAGCCAAAGCCCGGTTAATGGGTACAGCGGGCTCATCAGATTCCTTGGCTTTGTTGAGCAAGCTTTCAACTGAGGCGGTCTTAAGCGCCTCGTGCACGTCCTTTTTGGGCTCAACCGGAGTAGACTCTCTAGAGGCAACCGGAACAGCAGCTGGGCTAGCAGCAGCCGGACTTGAAGCAATAGCAGGACTAGATGAAACAGCAGGACTAGGGACAGCGCCAGGAGCAGGAGCGGGCACGGTAGAAGTAGGCGTAGGAGTTGCCTTTTCAACCTTAGTAGCTTCAAAGGGTTTGGCTTCTTCACCTTCGAAGAGGGCCTCT